TAACCAAGCAACATTAGTATACAGTTACTCAAGAAACTATCAATTTAGTCTATAGAAAATGCTTGTTGCACATGGATTCCTTCCTGTCCTGTGGGTCATGGTCACAGGATGAGATTTACCATTCCAGAACCTGGTGTTTGAAAATGAATGATAGATAATGAAGAAATCAAAGAATGAATCCAACAGATAATATTCTTTGTCAAATGTCTGAAATGTTCTTCTTTTAATTATTTTAATAAATAGGTGCAATACCTAAAAGGAAATAACTGCCAATTTGGTGGTAATTTGCTGATTCTAAGTTGAAGTCAAAACCAACAAGCTTTAAATGGCCACATCTGTTTTTCAAATCTGAGAAAGATTCATGTGCACATTTGTACTCCTATCAAGAAGTAAAGTAACAACCACATAAAAATTACAACTAAAATATAGAACCGTCATTCAGAACTGCCTGAAATCTAGCTAAATGGAAGTCCTACAACTACGGATTCAAAGAATAAGCCACATAGAGACTGGCAGGAGGGTCAGAGATCTAGAATGGGCTGGTCCCCACACCCACGTGTGGTGGATAAAAATTGGGAGAACTACCTCAGCTGTGGAGGTACCACTTGAGAAGCAAGGGGTCCTAGCCCCCCAAGAGCCCTCCCAACCTCCCTACCCAGAGTTCCAGTGCCAGGAAGAGAAGTCCCCATAACTTCTGGCTGTAAAAATCAGTAAGGATTGTGGCTGAGTAATATGAGGTTGTTGGAGTTCCAAGCAGTTCCTTTTAAAGGGCCTGTGCATTCACTTACTCCCTCCAAGCTCCAGTGCTGGGGAAATATATCAAAAGGCACCAGGGACATATGTAGAGGAAGTGAATTGTCTGACATCGGGAAAGAACTGAGGGTACAGCTTTGTGGTCGGCAAACTGCAGCTTGCGAGCCACATGTGGCTCTTTGGCCCCTTGAGTGTGGCTCTTCCACAAAATATCGACTTCTGCGCATGGGCCAGGAAGTTTCAATCGCACTGTACATGTGCGCCCACACGTGGTAATTTGTGGAAAAGCCATACTCAAGGGGCCAAAGAACCGCATGTGGCTCGTGAGCCGCAGTTTGCTGACCACTGTTCTTGACGAAAATGCTTGCAGAGGACACTGAACGTTTTCTGAGGCTACCCCCCTTCCCCCCCCCCTGCCCAATAGAGTCAGCAGGTAGGTGCCATTATCTGAATCTCCATCAACCTGAGTAACACTATTAACCCTGCCCTGGTGATTCCCTGAAATCCTGTTCCACCAAACTGGCAGGCACACCCAAGCTGTTTCCATACAAATGGCCTGTCTTGGCTCATGCTTAACACTTTCCTAAAATTT